TTTGGCACACACAGCAGGTTGGTGGCTCTTTCCCCTGTCTTAACCATTCTTTAGACAGTAACATTTTAATATAAAAATAAAGATAGAGTTGAGTTAAATCTTCTAGAGAAGAAGAAAAATGCTTATTACTTTATGGTAAGTAACATTTATTGCAACGTGTTTGGGTATTGTGTGGGATTTATATTTTCATTAATGCTAAGAGACTCATAAAAAGAAATCTCAATTACCAATGACTAAATTTGCTTTTCACATACAATTCTTGTTAGTAAAGGTAGGCTAGAATTATTGTGTTTACATTATAGTTTTATAGGTAGGACGATAGGACCTATAGGTAGGCTGGAATTGTTGTGTTTACATTATAGTCCTATAGGTAGGACGATAGGACCTATAGGTAGGCTGGAATTGTTGTGTTTACATTATAGGAGGGAAGGGAGGCACACAATAATACTTACACAGAAATAGCGGACCCCTGACAGGCACGCCAAAATAGCACTTTAATACTCAGCAGTGGACCCTACGTTTCCTGACACTCGTTTTGTCCTGTAAGTGTCCACCCAGGAGTTGGTATCATCATCTGTCTTTATCAGCCTGTCTGACATTTATAATAAAAATCGGACATCTTGCAAGAGAGAAAAGGACTTCAGTGAAAACTTAATAATAGATTCAGAAATATGGCAACTTTTTCTGCTTTAAACAAATGGATGAGCTAATCATGTTTAACAATTCAGTAGGATCTCCTATACACATTTGCTGAGTAGGGTAATAGGAATATTTTATACCAATGAATCAAGTGAGGGGAGGGAAGAAACTGAAAATAATTTTCATTAGATGAAATTAACTGTGAAAAAGCTTTCCAGGGTGTATCAACATTTTTCTAACAATATCCCTTTGAAGGAAAAGTCCACTGCTTCTAAGGTAGGGAATTTATATCACAGAAGGCAGGTTTCTGCTCAGTTGGGTCAAGGCTACATAATGGTTCTCTGAAAAGTCTAGGAATTCTGAAAACACACTGTAAAACATTTATATTACATAAAAATGGATAAAGAGCCAGCCCGATTCTATTAGCAAGTAAGAGAATAAGGGAAGAGATATGGGCCTGTGGAGCAGAAACAGGTTTATGCAGGGAAGTGCTTCTTTCTTTTCT